AAAGCATACAGGTGCAATGTAGTACTGTCATTTGCTGCATGCGTTCAATCAAGTGCCCTAGATATTACAAGAAAAAAAGTTATAATTACAAAAATTAAATTCACTTACATAGGAGGGGCACAGATGTCCAAACAGTATTTGCAGTTAATGCTTATAGACCTGAAATGATTGAAATAAGGTGGTTACTGTCACTGAAGAAGAGAAGATTTAGTGAATATAGATCAGAAATGAGGAGGTAAATTATAAAATTCTTTGATCTGTGTCACTACCATTCCAAATTCCATTAGCTTGCATGTGAGGTGTAATGAAGACCCCTTTAATATTAAAGATCACTTTTCAGTGGTCCCAAATTAACAAATGTCTATTATCTATGTCATTCTATTATTCATTCTTGATGTTTTTGTCCTGCTAAGGAAAATAATTTCCATGAGAATTATATTTTAAACTCATGACTATTAGAGGTTGAAGCTGATATTAGCCATGGAAACCCCAGTCCCAAAAGTGTCTTTAAGTGGAGGAGGGAGACCCAAGCTCTGTACTTGTGCAAGATTCATCAATGTGCGAGACCTATAGATGTAAGAAGCTTTTAAGCAAGCACATTAAAATGTGCTTGCGTGACTACCAGTATACCAGGTTGGATCAACTTGTCTTCATTGGATGACGATGCCATGGATCAGATAAACGGAAATGTACGTGTGCGATGTAACATAACAGTGATCTATCGTTTTCTTCTGGATGGAGGTCCAACTTCGCAATTAAAGGCTTCGGCACGACGTATGTGGACTACTCATTCTTACAACTTACTTTTTCCCTAAGGGTTCCGCCATGCCATGTGCAGGCCAAGAAGGCATGCCATCTGGTGGCAGGGGTGTGAGATGGACCAAATTAGAGGCGTCTCATAATTAAAGGGAAAGATATGTGGTTAGTTGGTATAGTACTTAGAAAGAGCCAAGAATGGGAATGGGTGATATTCAGGAGAGGGAATGGACAATGGCCAGTAGAGGTCACCACAGTAGAGGTCACCACAGTAGAGGTCACCACAGGAAATGGGCTTTAGCCAAGAGAGGAAAGGAGACAGCCAGGGTAGGGAATGAGCGACACCCAGGATGGGGAATGGGCGATTTCCAGGACAAGGAATGGGCGATATATCCAGAACAGGGAATGGGTCACAGCCAGGACAGCGGATAAAAACAACAATTCTAAATTCTAAGTTTGCTTGCAGCACGTACATTTCCGGGGGGCTCAATCTTAAATATTTCTATATGGGCAAGTGCTGCATTTACGGGGGTATTTTTGAGGACTTGGTAGCACAAGTGTGCGAATTTATGGAGGAGTTTCAGCATGTATAGGGTATATTCGCAAGGATTTGGTAGCACAAGTGTGGGAAATACCAGGTAAAATTGGTAGTTGAAGTCATGCTCTCTCCTGTATCAAAGTAGCATAATTCTTCACACGATTTTAGCGAAATTTGTGCTAACCTCAGTGCTAAACCTCTAAACCTACTGTTGATACATAGCAACGAACAGTAGGGATCACGA